GATCGTCAGCACGAGCGTCTTCCGACATCTCCAAGAATTTGGAGATATAATCATCAACATTGGAGTTTATTCCAGGTGCTTCTCCTTTCTCAGGACCACTTGACATCAGAACGTTTTCAATATGTTTGTCTTCTGCTTTCATGTCATATACACTTAACTCTGATTTGCTCATTTTGTTAAATTGCTATTGCAAAAACTTGACTCATTAATAGTGAAATATTGTGGTGATTATCTTGTCTATTTATAGAATTTTAGATATTGTCCATACCTTTGCTGCAAAAGCAATACTTCTTGGAAAAATTATGGTTACAATCTCAAGTTGTCACCACCTAAATGCACTAAAGCTAAAAATAAATAATCCGAAGTACCTAATCCAGGTAGTGCGCAGATGTGTTAGAGTTTGCTTTGCCAGCAACAATCACAAACTTTACAATATATCTGCAAGTGTGAAAACAGAATATGTCACAGAAGATGAAGAAAAAAAACTAATTTTTGTTGGCCCGATAATCTGCAAAGCCTTGCTGCCTCCCCACTCTCCTAAACAATGATTGGTTGTAAAAATGTATATACGTTCGCACTTTGGAGAAACAATTCATGCATGGTAGCTTAAAATGCAGAGGATCTGAAAACCATGAGAGAGTAAGAATGACGTGGTTGTATTCAAAATGATTGTTCACGTGTTCTTTGTTATGAAATAGAAGTATGACCATAATTTCAAATACTCGGGGAATTAGGTGTTGCAATTCTCCAACAATCTATCCATTGTATTTGATTAAACAATAAACAATAGGAATATAAAAAGACAATAGTTTGTTCCCCACATATTTTTATTTCGCGACCTCGTGAATTCTATTATTCGAATCAATAGCAAAGGAAAGTGATCGCATGCAAAGATTTACATCACAATGTCAGGAGAGAGAGAATCATACGAGATAGGATCATAAGATCAGTTTGGGTATTTGCATTACGTCACGCCACTAAGAAACTACACCTGTGGTGTGTACTTTGCTTATCCCTCTGGAAGTATTGCTTTCGTAGAAGAGAGATTTTCGTAATTTAAATGGAGCATGCTAATAATTTTCTGGATGGTAACAATATTGGCGAAGCCTAAGAGGGTATTAAACTTCAAGTTGCATAACTAAAGTACAGTTTTATTCAGAAACTTATTACATATCCAAATGAAATAAGGACTTACTTGATCACTAGTTCTTCACTCCTTCTTGCAAGGTATGACGTCTATGGGAGAAACCCCAAAGCACTACCACCTATCTAAACAATTTCACTATTAAGTTTACAAGCAATGCCTCCGCGCCAAGGAAAATGTTTCTCCACATCAGTGGAGGGTCCTTTCTCGGAATAATTAATTCTAAAGCCCAAGCGTCAATCAAATTCAATACCATGCACGTCACATGTGTTGCAAAAGGTTCAGGGGTAAGGTGGGGAAAAAGGACTTCTGTGACCTTTGGGGAATGATACATTTGGGTAATTGACCAACAAATTCTGTCGCTTCCAATGGCATTTGTCCCATAGAGACTGGGCTCCCCCACTTTATAGAAAGATGCAAGCAGGCTTAAATTTGTTTATTTCTTTTACGGCGCTTAAGTTGCAATCACAAAAGTGAGAAATTTGTTTTGAGATAATCCGAGAATTAACACGAAAATATTCCGAGCATTTGGTCAACAAACTCAAAGCCCCGTGAAATTTCTCGGACGAATTTTATCACCCCGCAAACTCTAAATGTGCCCCTCAGCAAAAGTATAGGGAAATGCAGAGCGCATAGATGTTAGAAA